CACCCCACTACACGTGAATGTAGATTCGTCTGTCACCAACATGCACTTCAAAAAGTCCGGATTATTGTCACGTTGATGCAACAACCACTCACAAAATCGCACTCTTGCTGAAAAATCGTCAGGTTGAAGGGCTTGTACAGTTGGACGTGAAACGGATACAGCCCCTCTTCACGCAATGTTTGCCACACTTTAGTTTTTGATACTTGCACTTCTCTAGCCACGTCTCTAGTGCTTGTTGAGGGATTCTCGTCTACGCGATTACCTCTACAGGCGTGACCGTAACCGTTGGTTGAAGGTTGCATACTGACCTGACACACTGACCTCGACCCAGTTCTGTCGTCGGGTTGAGCCAGTGACATTGTACCACTCCGTGATGTCGCGGCTACAGGACGGTATTCAGATATTTTTGATGTTGCAGAGCCCTTTATTTCGGTTCCCTTAAGACATTGGTGTATATGGTACTAAGAAAAATTGCTTATGTTTTCAAGATCTACACGTCGTGTAAAGGAAAACCCAACTTGCGGACACCCTGTATTGTATTCAAATCCTATTTACGCAGCGTCAAAACAGTGCGCGACGTTCAAATTCACGCCTAAGCCAAATGCCTAGGCGTGGCAGCGACAAGCTGATAGTGGGGATGATCGAGTGCTCGTGTTTGTTTTGGCGGGGCATAAATCGAATTTGATATACATTATAGATGGATATATCCCCGGGATGGAACACTGGCAACAGCGCAATCACTGCAACTCCACGACGGTAATGTTTGAGTAAGGTTAAGCACCACCGGCCGAGATTCCATCTGAAAAATAATTGAATAACGTCGAACGCTGAGAAACATGACCGCCAATTACCGTAGCAGAATTGTATCAGACGAATCAAGTTGGCCATAGGTCTCGAGCTTAACCTCAATTAACGACCAGGTCTCGGCGTACCATCAGAGCCGCGACCAAGTCATATCTTACTCTCCTCATTCTTCTGGTGGGTTTAATATACCGCGCTTAGTTTCCTGGATACAATGTCGTTATACTTATTGGATGCAGTATAATATCCTAGTCTCATTAGAATATGCCTCTGGATGTGTGGCATAATCTTAGATCTATTATTAAGGACATTCAGCAAACGTATTGACTCTTACCTTCAGTACAGATACCATTTAGAGATTATTCTCAGGCAACGGCGTGCTAGACCTGCAGAATTTGTACAGTTCAAGAAGCATACTCGATGCTAGAAAAAATGATAGAAATTGTAAAATAAAGGAACTGATCTTTCGACTCCAAGCTCTTGGGAATCATTAGCTGGTAGATGGAAAAAACATTTATCAGTTCGCTATAATTTTCATTTCTCTGACAAAAAGACACAAAAAGCGTTTCATTTGTTTTGAATATACAAACGTCTACATTACGAATGATTTATCTGTGTTTTATTTTTTGTATGTGTTGTGTTGTGTTGTATGTTGGGAATTGATGTGGTTACTGAAATTCAAGGATGTGTTCAGTTTCTATAATAATGCCTTAACCTTTAGATCGATTGTTCAAATTGTTGATTAATGTAACAAATATATACAGGGTGGCCAAACACGTGACGTCATAAAAAAAAAATTAGATTCCCCACATCGAGAGGAACCCAAATCACCCCCATATATATGGTCCGATTTTGTTTAGTTTAGGAGTTATGATTTTTTTTCGGATTTTTCGAGAATTTTTGAGTTCTGTGTTTATTTTTACCATAACTTCGTTAATAATTGTGATAAATGCCTGCTTTTTTCACGATTATGTAGCTAAGACCTAAGGCTTAACTATCATATAATCATTCAAGTCATGTAACTAATACTACTTTTTAATTTTTTTCAAAATCTTCGAACATAACAAAAAAGTAAAAAAGTGCAACAACTTTGAACGTTTATAAAAAATTGAAAAAACATCTTAAAAACTTCCTTACGGTATCAGCTATTTACTGTAAAAATTTCATCAACCTAGCTTTACTACATGCTACCGTAATTGTGGCTCAAATAGAACCGAACCCAAAATTGGATAACCCTCTGCTCAATAGAAATTGTTAGTTTCGGAAAAAAAATTTGCAAAAACCACAAAAACACGTTTGATTTTTACTGAACAGCAGATTATTATTCATTTATGTTATTTACAAGAGGTTTTCAAAATGTCTGCCTCTAACAGAAATGCACAGTGTACACCTACGTATGAAATTTTGTTTTAAATCTCTAAATGCTTGTGTGTTGTTTTTCAACACATGTGTCGCTTCTTGAATTTTGTTCCTCAATGAATTTTCATTTGCACATTCTTGGGCAAATGTTATATCTTTAAAATATCCCCAAACAAAAAAATCAATGGGGTTGAGGTCAGGGGAGCGTGGAGGCCATCGTATCGGTCCGTTTCGTCCGATCCATCTGTCTGGGAACCTTTCGTTTAAGTAGTTTCGCACGATCGTTGCGTTGTGGCATGGTGCACCATCATTCTGGAACACCATGTTCCGTCTGGCTTCCAGGCTTGAATCTTCCAGCAATAATGGTAGGCTATTTTCAAGGAAGCTTTTGTAGGCTACCGAATCCAACCTTGATGGCAGTTCAAATGGACCGATAAATTCCATATTGAATATTCCTGACCACATGTTCACACTAAAACGGTGTTGAAATGTCGACGGCCTTGACTGGTGGGGGTTTTCAACAGCCCAAGTATGTAAATTATGGATATTGAATATCCCTGTTCTTTCAAAACGTGACTCGTCAGTCCATAAAATTTTATCAAAAAAATCGGGATCCTCTCGTTGTCTTCGCAGCATTGTCTCGCAGAAATCCACTCTTAACTGGTAATCTGAAGGCATCAACGCTTGAACTCTTTGAACATGATAGGCATGATAACCTTCTTCATGAAGAATATTTTGTATCGATGTTCGTGGTATTCTAAGGTTTTGTGCCATAGATCTCGTACTCGTTGAGGGATTCCGGCTAATTTCTTCAAGTACTACTTCTCTGCGATCCGAATCGAATTTATCGGTCCATTTGAACTGCCGTCAAGGTTGGATTCGGTAGCCTACAAAAGCTTCCTTGAAAATAGCCTACCATTATTGCTGGAAGATTCAAGCCTGGAAGCCAGACGGAACATGGTGTTCCAGAATGATGGTGCACCATGCCACAACGCAACGATCGTGCGAAACTACTTAAACGAAAGGTTCCCAGACAGATGGATCGGACGAAACGGACCGATACGATGGCCTCCACGCTCCCCTGACCTCAACCCCATTGATTTTTTTGTTTGGGGATATTTTAAAGACATAACATTCGCCCAAGAATGTGCAAATGAAAATTCATTGAGGAACAAAATTCGAGAAGCGACACATGTGTTGAAAAACAACACACAAGCATTTAGAGATTTAAAACAAAATTTCATACGTAGGTGTACACTGTGCATTTCTGTTAGAGGCAGACATTTTGAAAACCTCTTGTAAATAACATAAATGAATAATAATCTGCTGTTCAGTAAAAATCAAACGTGTTTTTGTGGTTTTTGCAAATTTTTTTTCCGAAACTAACAATTTCTATTGAGCAGAGGGTTATCCAATTTTGGGTTCGGTTCTATTTGAGCCACAATTACGGTAGCATGTAGTAAAGCTAGGTTGATGAAATTTTTACGGTAAATAGCTGATACCGTAAGGAAGTTTTTAAGATACTTACGAATAGTAAGAACATGTTTTTTCAATTTTTTATAAACGTTCAAAGTTGTTGCACTTTTTTACTTTTTTGTTATGTTCGAAGATTTTGAAAAAAATTAAAAAGTAGTATTAGTTACATGACTTGAATGATTATATGATAGTAAAGCCTTAGGTCTTAGCTACATAATCGTGAAAAAAGCAGGCATTTATCACAATTATTAACGAAGTTATGGTAAAAACAAAACACAGAACTCAAAAATTCTCGAAAAATCCGAAAAAAAATCATAACTCCTAAACTAAACAAAATCGGACCATATATATGGGGGTGATTTGGGTTCCTCTCGATGTGGGGAATCTAATTTTTTTTTTATGACGTCACGTGTTTGGCCACCCTGTATATGAAAAATCAGCGTTTTAATTTTATCTTGTAAGGCCCTGAAGAAGAAGATGAATTATTCCGAAACGTCGGCAACTTTGTAACAGGAAACTGTATTGCTTTAGACTCCACATTCAATTAAATAACAGAAATTTATAAAATGAGACCTGTCAACTAAAAGCACATAAATCTTAAATACGAAATTCTTAAAATAATGATTTATTTCGACTACACGCTTTTATGAAAAGCTACTTTCTTCTGATAAAAGCTGAACCGATCTAGTTCACAACATCCAAGACTTGCCCAAACCACAAGCACCAATCCACCCTTCACCATCTAGGTCAAGTTTACCGTTTTAACCTTGGATTTTACACTTTTTTAGAACCAAAAAACTCTGGGTAGCTAAGGTAGATAGATTACAGTCAGTATAGTCATTAAACTCGGTCGTGATAGGGAAGTGTTGAGGATTTATGGGTTTTAAAGTTGGCAGGTCTTATCTCATAAAAATGCATTAAATTGTTATCAAATTCTTGGCACATTATAAACTAAACCACAACTTTGACGCACACGTAATGATAACGTGTCGTGTATCAAATTAAGTGATGCTTATAAAAATGAAAACTCCAACGTGCTGGTATCTCAGCGAAAGAGAAATATATTTGAAACCCCTTATTGCATGATTTTTTTTATTTTCAATGGGAAAAACATACGAGGTAGATCAATCTGCACAAGTTAGATAAAAAATACTTAAAATATATTTATTAAGTTCTTACTGACAAAATTCCAAAAAAAGGGTATGTATCATACATGAAACCTACCTTATTTATTTTATCTTTTTACCATCACATGTACTATTCTGTTGCTAAGTGGTTAATAAAGATAAAGATATGCACTAACAACCAGTCTTATGCAGTTACTCGGTGTGGAAACGTAAGTAACAATTTCTGTTTTTATTTAGGTAGAGGGGTACTTGACATTTTAAACAATAATAAATATTTGACTGGTATTTGCAGTCTGGATGTTTGCATCGATTTCTTTCATTTTACCTCCATTCCAGCAAATGATGTATTTCTAGTTACTGCTGATTCAATGTCCTTAGTTAAGGAGAACTTGAAGAACTATGATAGCGTTTCTGAATTAGTAACTTCTGGAAGCATATTGAGATTGCCCGTAAATTCCAGGTCCTTTGGATGTTTCACGAGATCTACAGTTCTCCAGGATCCTGGAACTATCTTCTCTGCAATTTCATGTAGAGCCATATTTTCACTATCATCAGACTCTACATCGGTTTGAGAAATGGCTGTTTCATCATAATCTTCTGCAGGCTCACTGTTGTGGTCGCTGTCAAATGCTAACATATTAGGACTTATGTAACCGCATGACGACACATATATGAATCAAAACAGTTCTTGTATGTAACCTCTGGAAAAACTGAAATTATTCCCAGAACTTACCTTGAAATGAAAGAGTAACAAATAAACTGTGAACAGCTATTTTTTCCTATCACCAAAATATACGTTTTATTTAACAAAAATGTGACATAAAATCGAAGATATGTACTGTACCGCGAGTGTCAACTTGCAAACTGTTCCAAGGGCGTATGTCTTGTCTCAGCGGCGTCGGCATTATTTTAACGTGTTTATTCCTCGGTCCCAAATATGAGTCACCACGCAGTTGTTCGCCCTTTAAACTGTAGAGCTTCGAAAAAATATCAATATATAACAATAACATAACAATATATAACATATGCCTCAGGATGCAATAAGGGGTTTTAAGAAATCTCAACCGCATTTAAGAGTGCAAGGCGTGTACTTTGAGACGATGTCTATGTTTTTCTTCAAACAAACAACTCGCTATGCTACATGACCTCAAACATAGGCAAACTGTTATTTTAGAACCTGTAGGTCATCATATCTTGGAAACTAGATGCCAACTTAGAGATTTTGATCATTGATTCTTGGGTAAGAAGAACGGCTCACTTTTATCGGTTGCTGAGAATCTGAGACAGTGTACCAGCAAGAGGTTTCCCACTGTTCTGTTGATCTCAACATTCGGATATCTTAGCTTCGTCTCTCCGATTTCATCATCATAATTAATTAAAAAAAATATCGGATGTACAGGGAAGTGACAAACCTACATGTTCAAACCTAAACTGGTACAAAAATCAACCGAACTACAGTTTCGTAATCACTATGGCGAATTCTAGCCAAGTCGATTGGACATATTCACAAAACTGTGAATGCAGGCCGGGCAAAAGGAATAGGGGGCAGGAATGACCCTTTGTATTACTCCCCAGATGTTACTGTTAATTAACTCAATCAGACGACAGGGCCCATTCTCGATGCTCCCTCACTAATTCACTGTGCCAGCTCATTCAGATACAGTCTTTATTAAAAGAAAGCCGGGTAGCATCTGCTAATGACCTCTCTTTATTTTCTGCAACCCTTTCTAATTACTTTAATGCTCAATTTTGTTAGCGCCAAAGAGAAATACTAAATAACGTACGTATATAGGATAAGCCTGAACGCTGGAAAGTTACATGACATTGATACAATTTACCTGTTTGTCAAATAAGTAAAGACATTTAGGGTGGATTTCACAATTTAACAAACCATTATTCTGCACCAATAGGGTACGAGTACCAAACAGTCCGTTAAATATACCCAATCAGCCTCAAGATCTCTCCGTCAAATTTTTGGCAGCAAATAGCATCAAAGTATTCAAAACAAAACACTGTAAAATATGAAGTGCCATTGAAATCTTCAGTTTATTAAATATTATTAAATTATGTAAAACTGAGCCAAAATTTTTAAAAATGCTTGATGTCTGAGTAAAATCTATTTTTTCAGATTAGCTGAAGGTTTTTCCATGTTTACTGCAACTTTTGTAATTCATATGTGATTATATCACCTACTGTGTGCTTATACAGTATATTCAGATAAGAGATAGACCGGACATAAACAAGACCACGTGATCATCGAACGCTGTAACATTCGGCAGGGACGTATTAAGAGTCACGCAGTACATATTTTAGATAGTAGATGCTGCTTTGCGTAACTTTGTAGTAAATTAGCACAATTCGATGTGTATACGATTGGTGATGAATATAGGATCATGTGGGGGTGGGGTAAGAAATATATAATGATGTAAATATACATAAGGGTTTCAAAATTTTCGCTTCGATTTCCAGCTTCGGATGCCGCCTGATGTTTGGTGAAATACAGTCGAATATAATCTCAAAATGGCGTTTAAATTAGGCTAAATTAAAAATAATCGTATATCTCTTAAAATTGCTTTTAGAATATTCATTAGTATATTTTTTGATTTCTAGGTAAATATGTAACCAAATTAAAACGTTCAAAACGTAAAAAAATGTGCATGGTTGAACATTGTCAGAAAGTAGATTCTTGAATAGGTTTTGCCAAAATGGGTTCAAAAATGTCAATAATTAATTAAAAAATACAGTAGCTTTATAATTACTTATAACTTACCGAATTTGATGAACGACATCTTTTATTGGAAAGATGAGCTTGATGAGCTTTCATCATCGCTACTGCCTGAAGCACCAACGTCAATAATGAATGGCTCGACTTGTTCCTCTAAAATATTGTCCAGTTCCCACATTCTCTTTTCAACTTTGTCTTTCACGTGCTTAATACAGTTTTCCCATTTTTGCGCTGTTATTAATTCTAGTGCTTCTTTGAAAAGTCCTTTGAGGTCACAAAATTTAAAAGTTGTATTGTGCTTAGCTATATAATTTTTAACCTCTGCCCATATGAGCTCAATGGGATTGAGCTCCCAATGGTATGGAGGTAAACGGAGCACAGTTTTATTTTGACTTGCTGCCATTTCGTCAATGGCGTATTTTTGATATTCCGCCTTGTGATCCTTGACAATTCTTAATAATTGTACTTTTTCAGCATTGCTTCTTCAAAGTTGATATTTTTCGAGCGGAGCCAATTTTGAACATCAACTTTCCTTGAAGCCGTTGTTGGGACCTTCTCCATTCTTCGAGAATGATAAGGCGCATTATCCAACACAATTACTGCGTTTTCCTCTAAGTTCGGTAAAATTTTTGAAAACCACTGTTCAAACGATTTGCCATTCATTTCCTCGTGGTAATCTCCAGTTTTCTTAGACTCAAAGCACCACAGACCGTCAACAACAAATCCATCCTCACTGCCAATATGGCAGATAATGAGCCTTTTCCCTTTACCTGGAAATCGAAGTACTAACTGGTGTAGATTTATTTCAATAAGCGAACCTTTTTCAAATGTTTTCATCACATTCAGCGAAAAAACATTGAGACATGAGTATCAGATTGCTATAATTGGGATTATTTAGTCATATTGAAAGAAAGAATATTGAACGTCGTATGATTACTCAGCGCTTCACAATTTAATTTAAAGTTATAAACCTTTAAAATATGAATGATCAGGAACCTGAAATACGCGCAAATATTAATATTAACAAATTATAACTTTATAAAGCTTAAAGTATGAATTAAAATGATTAGAAATATTAGGAACGGTACACAATATAAAACTTAGTAACTTTTTTTAAGTTTATAATATTCGACATATTTTAAGATTATATTAAAAAATTATTGAAATATCGTAAACGCTTAAAAACATGGCTTAAAAAAGTTCTATCAAATGAAAATGACAATAAAACATCCAGGCATTTTATCGAAAGTTATAAAAGTTTTGTTACTTGTAATATGTTTTATCTGCCCCCTGGAATTAATGTTTAGAACCTTGTTCCCAAGGTTTGAAAAACATCCGATTGCTGTCTATTACTCGTATTTACCTGCTGGATTTTTTAATCCGGTGGACAGTCCATCTAGAAAGGCCCTCCTGGATGAAGTTACAGAATCATCAACCCATACTTTACTTGTAGTGTGTCCTGCGTTTACCCACGTTTCATCAAGATAATAAATCTTCCTGTTTTGATTTCTATATTTCCCAATTTTTGTCCTCCATAGCACAATTTCTTCTCTATCCAGTAGTAAACTATTACGACCCCGTTTTTTCCATTTGAAATTTAAATACTTCAGTAACGCATGGAAAGTTGATCGTTTGAAATTTGGCAATGTTGTATCTCCATTTACCTCCTGCAGTACTTTATCTATAGTAGGTATTTCATTCCTAAAGAAGAATTCATGCACTTTCCTCCTAATCGCATGCTTATCAGCTTCATCCAATGATTTAACAATACTTTTGCGATGTTTACTGGTCATTGGCTCAGAAAAGGTGTGATTTTTTTTGTATTGTCTTAACACATTAAACACTGATGCGCGACACACCCCAACTTTGTGAGAAACCTTCACAACAATTTCTTTGATGGTTAATGCCTCGTTCTCCTCGCGCTCGATCTTATATATATTCAAAATGACCTCTTTCATTTCTGCACTCAGGTGTCTTTTTTTAAAGCGTTTCCTAGGTGGACTACAGGAGTTTACAACTTCATCGGCAGTATCTGTACTACTGGGCATTTTGCGCAAGCAGTTGATAACAATAACAATCAATAACAAGGTATAACAATAATAACGACAAACTCAACAACTTAATAAGATAACAAACGAAAACGTCCAAAGAAATATCAAATTGCAATGATGCACACGACATACGTAACACGTCTGAACCTGAATGTGACTCTGCCTTGATACGACTGCTCTGCCGCTCGGCATAGGCATTTAATTGCGAATTTACCAATGAGGGCTCCTGTTTTACGTCGAGACGGCGGCGTTAGCGTGAAAATCACCCGAACCTTTTGTTTACATCCGGTCTATCTCTTATCTGAATATACTGTAGTTTATAATATATTTGCAAACTTGCACTTCCAAACCCTTACATGAAAAAGCCTTTTCACTCAAATTTTTGTTATTTGTTGCATTTCAACACATTCATACACTTCTTTCCAGTTCCTCAACGATATTTTAACCCCACTGGTCCGAAACTTCAACATTCGTACATACAATTTCAGTTGCAGTTTTTTGTTTTGATTTCAGTGTATAATCAGTCGCACCATCGGTGATGGTACATTCAACATAACCACGTATTTAGGGGTTCGTGCAGATTTAACGAGTACACGAGAGTGTAATATGTATTTCTTCACAAAACAATCTTGGAGGGAGCACTTTTATACGGAAATTTGTTGTTAAAAGATTC